CCACGCCTGAGGACACGCCTGAGACCCCCAGGACTCCCGCGACCCCCACGGCGGTAGTGGCGGCGACCGAGCAGGCCCGGCCATCACCGCGATCCGAGCGTCAGGAATCCGCTGAGCGCGCCGAGGAGCTGCCCAGGCGGCGGAGGCCCGAGCGCCAGGAGTCGGTGGAGCCCTCGGAGGAAGCGGCCCGGAGGCGGCGACCCGAGCGGCAGGAGTCGACGGAGCACGAGGCGGCACACAGCCTCACCCTGGGCCGCTACGAGCAGATGGAGCGGCGGCGCGAGCGAAGGGAGCGAAGGCTGGAACGACAGGAGTCCAGCGAGCAGGAGACGCCCAACAGGGGCGACCTGGCCAGGGGGTGAGGCCGCAGGGACTGGTGGGGGTGGAATGCAGAGAGCTGGGGCGGGGGACGCAGGGCGGACACAGGTCCAGGAGGGGGTTCAGGAGGAGGTATCCACTGAGGCCGACAGCATCTGTTATCACTGAGTTGAGAAGGCCCTTGCTTCGGTTTCGGCACTGGGTCCCTTTCTCACACTGCCAGCAGCCTGGTGGGAGGAGCTGTTGTCACACCCAACCGCAAGAGGACAACCGAGGCTTGGGGGGAGCGCCACTGGGCTTTGGGGGAATGCAACCTGGGGCCTGGTCTTTGAGAACACACACCGTCCCTGAAACGGGGACACTGGGTCAGCAGTCAGTGACTTCCTGTCCTGCTTACTATAAGTTAATTTTCCTTGTTGTTGCTGGCATAGTCTGGGTACACCCACTCGGTAACCAGTGTGTGTGTGTGTACACTGGGACCCTGCCTTCAAGGGGCTCACAGTCCAGGAGGGGACACACACTAGTCCCCTTTGGTAGTAACCTAGAATTGGTTAGGGCGGGTGGAGTCCCTGGTCCTGCGAGAAAGGCATCTGTGTGTCCCCAGGATCCATAGGGCTGGAAGTCCCTGCGCGGGGACCCTCGACATCTCAGACCCCCCCCAGGTGGGGTGGGGAGGAAGTGCCTCCTCCACTTCCACCGGGTGTCTCTTTTCCCTCTTCCCCAGGAAGGCCACCCTGGCTGACATCGTGGAGCAGTTACAGGAGAAGGAAGCTGGCCCAGGGCTCCCCGCTGGGGTAAGTGGAGCCTCACCTGAGCAGGAGTTTAGGGAACCCCCCTCTTCCTCAGAGCAGGTAGAAGTCAGGATCTCAGCAACAGCCTGGAGGGTCAAGCCCTGGGTCCCCTGCTACCTCCTCCTTGCCCCACCCCGCCTCACAGATGCACTCCCAAAACTCATAGGGGCCGTAAGAATTCCCGCACCTCAAGATCTTTTCACACTGACCTCCAAGACAGCAAGCAGAGGGGACCCCAGGCCCAGGGGGGCGCCCCCAGATCCCCCTCGTGGGCAGCATTCCCCTTCGCCCTCCTCTCATACAGCCGTCGCTGCCTCAGCCACGCGAGCTTCCCCCTGGTCGCCTGCCCAATGGCCTGGAGCCACCTGAGCGGACACCTCGGCCCGACCGGCCACGGGCACGGGACCGGCCCAAGCCTCGCCGGCGGCCGAGGCCCCGAGATGGGGGCGAGGGTGGGGGCAGCCGGCGCTCGCGCTCCGCCCCGGCCCAGGGCGGCTCTGCCCCCGCACCGCCGCCGCCGCCCACGCACACGGTGCAGCACGAGGGCTTCCTGTTGCGCAAACGCGAGCTTGACGCCAATCGCAAGTCTTCGAACCGGTGAGCGAGTTGAAGGGACTCTGGAAGCAGGTCCCAGGCTCTGGGTGTGCAGTGCAGGAAGAGGTGTGGGGTGGGAGGGCATGAGGAAAGGGGTGGAGTCGGAGGAGGGGCGGAGCTCAACATCAAGGATGCCAAGCCATGGCCAGGAGGGACCAGGCCCAAGGTTGATGCTGAGTGGTGGAGCTTAGATGGGGAACTGATACTGTTAAGAAGGTGAATAAATTAGGACCCAAACTTAGAGCCAGCGAAGGTTGACTGCCGCTAAACAGCAAAGTACAGGGATGTCTAGAGGTGTCCAGTGGCGAGTGAAGTGGAGCCCAGAGAAGCCATTGACTGGGGTAGGTCTGCCCTCAAATTTGCAGTTGCAGGAGGCTCTGATGAGGATTTAGCCCATGTCTGGAGGGCTAAGTGGAAGGGTGAGGGGTCTCACAGGTTTCCAGTTCTCTGTTGTTCCACCACAGGTCCCACTGGGAGGTGCGGCCAACGAGGTGTGGCCAGCCCGCAAAGGGGCATGGGGTAGGGCACAGGCCCTAGAGGCCAGGTGGAAAGGTGGAGGTCTGGGGCAGTTCCTTTCTCTTGTGCCTCAGGCAAGGTGGGCATAAACAGGAGCACCTGGTGGGCTTTGCATGCAGTGGGGCTTTCCTCCCCTTGGGCTGGAAGCAGACCACGTGAGGGGCAGGTGAGGGGCAGGTGAGGAGCACAGGTTGGTGGTGGAGACTGCGGCTGTCTTGCCTTGGGAAGTCCAGCCTGGGGAAGTGTGACCACAGCAGACGCCAGCCTGGGGAAGGCCTCCACACCATTCTCAGCTCAGTCCGGCTGCAGTGGCAAAGGCCCTAGAGCCCCCCCAGGAAGAGGGCTGCGGGTCTCCCTTGAGCCTCCTCTCGTCACCCCAGGTCGTGGGTGAGCCTGTACTGCGTGCTCAGCAAAGGGGAACTGGGCTTCTACAAAGACTCCAAAGGGCCAGCCTCGGGGGGCACCCACGGCGGAGAGCCCCTGCTCAGCCTGCACAAGGCCACCAGCGAGGTGGCTAGTGACTATAAGAAGAAAAAGCACGTCTTCAAGCTCCAGTGAGCCCCCTTCCCCGCCCCGTCACAGCCCCAGCCTCCCTCTCTCTCAACCGGCTGGCTCTTGGAGGACTTGGTGGCGGGGGGGGGAGGCAGGGAATGGGGGCAGGTGGGCTGGGCCTCTCACCCAGATCCCCCAAGTCCTGTGTCCCTCTCCTGCAGGACCCAGGACGGCAGCGAGTTTTTGCTGCAAGCTAAAGATGAGGTGAGATCTGGTCCCATCCCTGTGCTGACCAGCTGGTTGGCCAACTCCTGGCTCCAAGGGACGAGGCTGTAGGAAGGAATGGGGGTGGTGGGTCTAGGAGTGCTGCCTGGAGGCGCTGACCAGGGCTGGCCTCCTGGTGAGGGGAGGGACACCAAGGCTTAGCTGAGGATGGGGTGGAAGGAAGCTGGTCTCCCACTTGGAGAAGGTTGGGTTTTGTCCCAGAGACATGAGGAAGTCAGGGCGGCGTTTGGGGCCAAGGGAGGGTGATGGCAACATAGAAGAAAGATCTGTTTGGCTACCATGTGCAGGATGGCAGAGGTGGGGGAGCCCGGGGCTTGTGGAGAGGGAGAAGAGGCAGGCGTTGGCAGCCAACACCCAGCAGTGCTCCATGGGCACCCATAACTCCATCTGCTGTAGCATGTGGTTGTGGCATGGGTTTCCACACATCAGCACACAGGAATGTCTAGGACAGAGCCTGGCATGGGAGGTGCCATGTGGCTGTGTGGCAGCCTCCTCTCTGACTTCCTAGAACAGGTGCACAGGGTGGCACATTTTGGAGGTTCCGACTCCACGCCCCCTTCCTTCCCACAGGAGGAGATGAATGGCTGGTTGGAGGCCGTAGCCAACTCTGTGGCAGAGCACGCGGAGATTGCCCGCTGGAGCCAGACGCTGCCTACCACGTCGTCCACGGATGAGGGCAACCCCAAGCGGGAGGGCGGGGAGCGGGAGCGCAGGGCCAGTGGGCGCAGGAAGTGACAGCCTAGCCGGGGGGCCACACCCTCGCCCGTCCTCTCTGCACTGTGGGCACAAAGACACTTTCTCCTCCGCAGGGGCCGGAGCCCCCCAGTTCCACCACTGCGGACGTGCCATGATGGGCACTGGGAAGGAGGGGCCTTCTCCCGCACCCCAAGAAGTGGTAGGGGACGACTGCCCCCATAGCCATATACCGGCCCCTTCCTGCTCGCCAACTTCCCCTCCACCCCAGGTGCTGGGGCGCAGTGATTTTTATGCAATAACTGAGCTTGCTGGGGGTGGGCAGGAGGCCTGCTGAGCCGAGCCCCCTGCCCCGATCTGCCGTAGATCCTGCCCCAAGAAGTCGGGGTGGCGGTAGTGGTGGGGGCGGCGACCATTCCTGTCCCCTCTCCGTCCTAGGGATGGGCACGGGGGCGCTGGTGAGGGCCCCTGGACCATCCAGGGTGCTAGGGGGTGGAGAGGGGACCCCTCCTGCCTGCCTTTACCTCACTTCCAATGCTGCCTTGACCTCTCTGGCTGGGATGGGGGAGTGAAGGCACCCCCTCCCCCAGCCCCTGCACTCCTGTGCCGCAGAGCCATGCGGTTCACTCCTGACTTAGTTTATTTTTGCAAAATGTCCACCTCCCACCCCCGCATCCGCGAAGGGACGTCCCAGCTCGACATCCCCCGCCCTCTCTCTCTCCTTCCCTCCTCCAGCTGTAAATGCCACTTCCCCAGGGGAAGGGGGGGAGGGACAGCCCTCCCCCGCCCCCTGCATGCTTCTGGCTGGTGCACCTTCCTGGGGGAGAGGGGGAGCCGGCTGTGGGCAGCCTCCCTCGCCCCCCAAGGGCGAGAAGCCGCCGGGGCTCCGGGAAGGGTGGGACAGTGTGGCGGGCGCACACTATGTACCTACAATAAACCCTTTGGCTTTCACAGGTCGTGCTGGTTTGTTTCGCGTTTTCTGGGTTCCTCCCTGGAGGGGTGGATGTGGGGGGGGCCGGAGAGGGGGAGCGCGTGGCTCCAGAGAACATCCAGGGGTACCGTCAGATGTGGGCTCACACGCCCGTCAACGCCGTTCCTAAAAGGAGAATCCTAGCAGCGACGAGGCCACTTGGTCTGACTTCCCCTACAAAGGCGCCGCGGGGTCCCGCCCCGTCCAGGACATGAAAGACGCACCTCTTTGAAGGAGGCCGAGTGTTGGGCTTTGATGGGCGGAGAGTTCTGCCCAATCCTTGGTGGCGCTCAGAGTCTCCGGCCCAATGAGCAAGTTGCGGAGGCGGGGCGTCCGTGCCTACCCGGAAGTGAGTGCGGACCGGCTGGGCTTGTCCCGGGGACCATGGCTGCGGCCGCGGCTGCAGCTGAGGGGATCCCGGGTCGGGGTCCACCCGGGGAAGTGATTCATCTGAATGTAGGCGGCAAGAGGTGAGTGTGGAAGATTCCGGAGACCCCAGCCTAGGGGGCGGGGAGCGCGTGGGAGGCCCCGCCCTCTCCTCGGAGGAATTCCCTGTCCATCAAGGCTGCTCCGCCCCGCACACCCCAGGAGAGGCGGGAGAAGCGGGGACCGAAGGGGACCCCGCGTTCCTCAGCCTCTCCCCTGATCTCCCGCGTCCCTTTACCCTGACCGTGCAGGTTCAGCACCTCTCGCCAGACCCTGACCTGGATCCCAGACTCATTCTTCTCCAGGTGCTGAGGACAGCGGGGGTAGGGGCAGGGCTGGGATGGTGGGGTTTGGGGGTCACTCCCACCACCCACCCTCCTACCGCGGCCCCCCGGGACACCTGCTGTGGACCCCTTTCCCCTGCAGCCTTCTGAGCGGCCGCATCTCCACGCTGAAAGATGAGACCGGAGCCGTGAGTGGGGCCAGAGCTGAGAGGGGGCGGCAGAAGGGCGGGAGGAGGGGTGCCAGTCCCACGCAGCCGAGCCCCTGTTCCCCCTCCATCCGCCACCCCATGCCCCTGCTTTCTCGCAGATCTTCATCGACAGGGACCCCACCGTCTTCGCCCCCATTCTCAACTTCCTGCGCACCAAAGAGCTGGACCCCAGGTTGGCTTGGGTGAGGGGGCATTTATTTGTCCCCCACATCTGGCTCCCTCAGATGTACACTGGCGCTCCATTCTGTTAGCGCCACCCACACCCTTGGCAATTTAAAAACTATAGGTCTACAGAATTGCCTTCAGTACCCATTTTGCCCATGTGTATCACCATTCCACTGATAATTGTGATCCAGTCAGAACAGCTCTCTGCCCACTCCGGTGCACCAGCCCTGACCGCAGGTCAATTCTCTGCCTAGGGGTGTCCACGGCTCCAGCCTCCTGCATGAAGCCCAGTTCTATGGGCTCACTCCTTTGGGTAAGGGGGACCCCCCCTCATTTACATCCTCCAGCCTGGAAAGCCAGCTTTCTGCTACTGTCCCTGAATTCTCCCTGCCCTCACCCCACTCCACCCCCAAAGACCAAGAGCCCTGAGTCTGGGGGATGTTGGGAGGCGGAAGGGAGTCTCCCCAAAGTCGCTTTCAGTCCTAGTCCTTCTGTCACAGTCCGCCGCCTGCAGCTGCGGGAGGAGTTGGATCGCTCTTCCTGTGGGAACGTCCTCTTCAATGGTTACCTGCCCCCACCAGGTGCGTACCCCCGTGGGGGAAAAGAGGGAGATGGTTAAAACTACATTTCCCACAAGGCTGCAGCCCCTGGGTGCCTGTGCTGTGAGCCCAAAGACACGATGGGAGTTGTAGTTCCATGTGAGCTGCTTGGGAGGAAAGTGGGGAAAACGGCATTTTCTGCTGTGGGCCAGTAGGGTCTCCTTGGGGGCTTGGAAGCTTTCCTGAGTACTCACTGGGAGTTGTAGTCCAGGGAGGAGGCTGGGTCCTTTGCTTGGAGAGTATTAAAGGGAAGTTATGGATGTTACTCTCCACAAGCCAAGCTACCCAAGGGAAATGGGGGACTAAAGGCGTTGCTGATTGCCTTCTCTGTGAGGGGCTCTAGGGGACTTGTCATTGCCTGTCAGAAATCAGCATGTGTCCCGTTAAGTGTCTACCAAGAGACAGCCGCAATTCCCCACAATGGTGACCTGCTCCTGCTTCCCTCCTGCCAGTGTTCCCAGTGAAACGGAGGAACCGGCACAGCCTGGTGGCGCCACAGCAGGTTGGAGGGCGCCCAGCCCCCGTTCGACGGAGCAACACGATGCCCCCAAATTTGGGCAACGCGGGGCTGCTGGGCAGGATGCTGGATGAGAAAGCTCCTCCCTCACCGTCAGGTAACTGCCTGACTTGGACATCAGGGTGGTCAGTGGTGTCCTGTGGACCCCTGTCCTGACCCCTGCCGTCCCCCCGACCCACCCAGGGCAGCCAGAGGAGCCAGGAATGGTTCGCCTGGTCTGTGGACACCACAACTGGATCGCCGTAGCCTACACCCAATTCCTTGTCTGCTACAGGTACTGTGGGAGGGACGGGCGGTCTGAGCCCCGTTGAGAGCAGGTGGCTTGGGGTGAGTGTTGATGACGTGTCTCCTTCACCCCCACCCTATCCTGTAGGCTGAAGGAAGCTTCTGGATGGCAGCTGGTGTTTTCCAGCCCCCGCCTAGACTGGCCCATTGAGCGCCTGGCGCTCACAGCCCGGGTACCCGGCGGTGCCCTGGGCGAGCATGACAAGATGGTGGCGGCAGCCACGGGCAGTGAGATCCTGCTGTGGGCACTGCAGGTGGAAGGCGGAGGCTCTGAGATAGGTATGGCTTTTCTGGAGCTTTTCCAGAACCTTCTTCCTGTGGAACTCCCAGAGCTTTGTAACCTGTTCCTTCCCACAGTTCTCAAGCTCCAGAGAATTCTCTGGTCTATGGGATCGCTGCTGTACCTACTCCCTCCTCTTCCCCCTCCGGAAGGCTCTGGAATTCCAGCCACCCATGTGCCATTCCCCTCCTTGGCCACAAGGCTCTGAGTTGGCAGAATGGCTCTGAGGGCCCCTGAGAAACTGGGAACACCTGCTGGTTGGAGCCCCAAGCCCCAGCACAGGACTCTGTGTTCATCCTGTCCCGCTCCCCCCGCTCCCTGCCCAAGCCCTCCATGCTCCCCACAGGAGTCTTCCATCTCGGGGTGCCTGTGGAGGCCTTGTTCTTTGTGGGGAACCAGCTCATCGCCACGAGCCACACGGGGCGCATCGGGGTATGGAATGCCGTCACCAAGCATTGGCAGGTTTGTCTCTGCCACCCCCTTCTGGGTGTGGGGGGTGTTCCTTTCTGTGCCCCCCCCCCCGGGGAAGGGGTGTATGTGTGATCAAGGCCCAAACATCAGGGTCACCTTCCTGGAGCAGACGCGACAGCTAGAGTGGTGGGGGACAAGGTAGGAGGACAAGAGGCAGGAACCCCAAATCCTACACATGTCCCTCACGCCCAGGGCCCCAAGAGAAAAGGTACAAAAAGAAAGAGAGATGTCCTGTGCTGTTTTCCTCCTAATGAGAAAATGGAGAGGGACAGGCAGAGGGAAGCAGAGAGAAGTGATGGAGGAGGGCGGACAGAGAGAAGTCAGGACTGGCACAGGGCACAGAGAGAGCGAGTTGGGCAACAGAGCAGAGGGGACACTGGAGACTCGTGGGGGCAGAGAGAACCCGGCAGTGGACGAGGCTGGGCTGGGTGGCGCCCAAGGGGGATAGGATGGGTGGGGGAAGGAGAGCTTACGCCAGAGGGGCCCTGTTCGCTCCTCACCCCTACAGGTCCAGGAGGTTCAGCCCATCACCAGCTATGATGCCGCTGGCTCCTTCCTCCTCCTTGGCTGTAACAATGGCTCCATCTACTATGTGGGTGAGCAAGTGGCAGCCTGCCCCTGCCCTACCCCACCCCGGCCCCAGGGAGGAGGGCAGGGCAGGGGAACAGGCAGGAGGTGGCACTGTGAGCAAGCCTGCCCACCCCTCCTCCACTCAGATGTGCAGAAGTTCCCCTTGCGCATGAAAGACAATGACCTCCTGGTCAGCGAGCTCTACCGTGACCCAGCAGAAGACGGGGTCACCGCCCTCAGCGTCTACCTCACTCCCAAAACCAGTAAGCCGGGACCCCTACCTCACCTGCCAGCTTACCCTCACCAACCCCAGATGTTGCCATTCAGTGGGGTTTTGTGTGTGTGTGTGTTGTGTATTCATAAGGTTGTGTGTACAGCCATCACCACTGTTGAATTCCAGAACATTCTTATCACTCTGTCCCCGTTGTCTGTGGACTTAACTGTTCTGAAAGTTTCATGTAAATGGAATCATGGTCCATGGCCTATTGTGTGTGCTGGGTTTTGCTTAGCACAGTAGTTGTACATGTGGGAAGAGAGAGCGCTCATCTGATTCACTCCCTGACATGTCCTGAGTGGCCCACCTGGGGCCTAGCTCCAGGAGCCGGGTCTCCCCCGGGGGCAGCAGAGGCCCAGCTGCTTGAGCCATCACTGTCGCCTTCTAGGGCGTGCATCAGCAGGAAGTTGGAGTCAACTGCCTGAACCGGGAAGCAAGCCCAGGCACTCCCATGTGGGAGGCAGCTGGGGGCCAGTGACAGCCATGAGGCCAAGTCCCCACCCTGCTGTTCCTTGCAGCTGTCCTTGCCTACCCTCGAGCTGCAGGATATACCTGCACCCAGTAGTGTTTTCTTCTAGAACCTTTATGGTTTTAGCTTCCATCTTTTATCAGCTTGAACGTATGGTGTGAGGTAGGGGTTCTGGCTCAATGTTTTGCCCCCAGTGGGAATAAGTTAACGATAGCCACATCTGCCTAGCTTGTCATTGCCCATCTCCTGTGTAAGGTGCCATTGTAATTTCACATGTTTATTCCTTGCCCCCTTCTTCTTCCTCTCCCCATACCACTGTTCCCATGGGATTGTCCCATCAGTTTTTTACTCAGATGTGTCCTTGTGAAGCGGTCATGGTGGACCAGTTTTGGGGTTCACATGAGTGGCTCCATCGCTCAGTTGTCCTCTGCTTCTGTCCTTCTGCCCTGGGCTTGCTCTGTGTCCACGCTACTGTGTGTGGCCCTCACCTATGTGTGCGCACACTGCGTACAGGGTTGCCACCTTCCTATTATCCACCCACATTCTGCAAACTGCTCAGACTTGTATGTAGAAAACTGTGCAAAACTGGGAGTCCGTCAGGCACCCCAGCTCCCATCTTGGTTCTGTCTCTGCGATTCCTTCTCTGTGCTCAGAGCTGTGCCTTGGACACTCCTCCTCTGGCTTCCACATCTCCAGCCTCCCTCCCTCTGCTGTGCATGGCCATGTGGCTTTCCCGTCCCCGGGGTCTCCTTGGCCTCTCTGTAAGCCAGGACCTCTCCCCAGGTGACAGCGGGAACTGGATCGAGATCGCTTATGGCACGAGCTCAGGGGGCGTGCGGGTGATCGTGCAGCACCCCGAGACAGTGGGTTCGGGGCCCCAGCTCTTCCAGACCTTCACAGTTCATCGCAGCCCGGTGACCAAGATCATGCTGTCTGAGAAGCACCTCATCTCTGGTGGGTGGGCGGCGGGGTGTGGGAGGGGCAGAGGGTGGGGCGGAGCTGTGATGTCATGGCAGAAGTGACAGTGAGTCGGTGGAGGGAAGGTTCATCAATTCAGCAAGCAGGGATTGAGTGCCTACCGTGCCCCAGGCACCTGTGGGAGAACGTGATGGAGCTCGCGCCTGGGGATGGCGCTGAGGTTCTAGCCCAGGGTGTGGGCAGCAGCTGTGGTGAGCAGGCAGAGCTCATAGGATTCCAGGCCTTGTGGGTTCTGGGGCAGAGGGTTCCTTGAAGGGGCGGGATTTCCAGGGTCCACTGGGCCAGCCCTGACCCTCCATCGTCCGCACCCCTCAGTCTGCGCCGACAACAACCACGTGCGGACATGGTCTGTGACCCGCTTCCGAGGCATGATTTCCACCCAGCCCGGTTCCACCCCGCTCGCCTCCTTCAAGATCCTGGCGCTGGAGGCGGCTGACGGACACGGAGGCTGTAGCGCCGGCAATGACATTGGTGCCTCAGGCCCTGCCCCCACCTGACTGACCCCCGTAAACCCCTGTCCTCCCAACTGGCTAACCTGTTGAACGCCCCTCAACCTGCACCCGCTCTACCCCCATGCCTGCTGACCCCTGCTGCCCTCCAGTGATCTCCACTTCCTCCCAGCTGGCCCTGGGGAACCTGCCACACACACCTTCCCCCATCTCTGCTGCCGCCCCAGGACCCTGGCCCCCCAAACCTTCCACTCCTGGGCTTCAGCACCCCAGGGATGAGACCAATGTCTGGGAGGATGTCTGCTGCTGGGCCAGGGGGCTCAAGGTCCCCCAGCAGGCCCTGACCTGCACCTCGCCCACCCCAGGCCCCTACGGCGAGCGCGATGACCAGCAGGTGTTTGTGCAGAAAGTAGTACCAAGTGCCAGCCAGCTCTTCGTGCGCCTCTCATCCACGGGCCAGCGGTGAGGGGCACAGCCAGAGGGCACCCAGGGCAGAGGCCCAGAGGGAAGGAGGGATGAGCCGATGGGTGTGCCTTCACGGATACCAGCAAGGAGCTGTGGTGTAGGACAGGCCCCAGGCCTGTTTGGGACACATGGTGGGTGGGTGGGTGGGGTGATGCTGGAGGCCCTGCGACTCTGGCCGTCTTGAATGGGCAGTGGAGAGGCAGGGACCGAAGCCATGGTGGTGGCAGTGGGGTGGCAGACAGGACAGGGAGGGCTGGGTGCCGGCAGTATGACCCCCCACCCTACCCTCTCCTGCCGCCTCCAGGGTGTGCTCCGTGCGCTCTGTGGATGGCTCGCCCACCACCGCCTTCACCGTGCTGGAGTGTGAGGGCTCACGGCGGCTCGGCTCACGGCCCAGGCGCTACCTGCTCACGGGCCAGGCCAACGGCAGCCTGGCCATGTGGGACCTGACCACTGCCATGGACGGGCTCGGCCAGGCCCCTGGTACTCCCCCCAGCTTACCCTCTGACCCCTGCTTGCCCTCTGCCCTCCCACTGCCTCTCCCAGAACATCTGTCCTCGGTTCCTGCCCCTCCATGTCCTGTCACCTTTCCCGACCCTCTGACATGTGGCACTGCTGCCTTTCGCCCTGTGCCTCCTGACCCCACGTGCATCTGTGCCCTGCAGCCAGCGGCCTCACAGAGGAAGAGCTGATGGAGCAGCTGGAGCAGTGTGAGCTGGCCTCGCCGGCCTCCTCCTCGCGGGGCCCTCACCCCAGCCCCTCGCCTCGGACCTCACTCACCAGGTAGCTGCCCTGGGGAGACCAGGAATGGTGACCTGGGGGTAGAGGTGGGGATGGGGGGTCCCAGCCTCCTCCCACCATGACACCTCACTCTGGCCCTCCCTGCTCTCGCAGTCTACATTCAGCTTCCAGCAACACCTCCCTGAGCTGCCGCCGGGGCAGTCCCCCACAGGCCGAGGCCCGGCGACGGGGCACAGGCAGCTTCGTGGAGCGGTGCCAGGAACTGGTACGGAGCGCGCCAGAGCCCCGCCGGCCACCAACCCCCGCCCCTCGGCCCTCCACAAGTCTTGGAGCGCCCCTTGCGTCCCCCAAGAAGCAGCTCAACGAGACCTCGTTTTGAATATAGCCACCTGTCCGTGCCTTTGGGGGCCCCTCCCGGAGCCCTGTGGTCAGGGACGGGGTCTCCCAGAGCTGGATCCTGTTACTAGACCCCCTTCCCCATTTCCCCCTTTCTGGAAGCCACTGTTACCTCCCTAATAAAGTCCTCACTGCCAATGTCTTGTCTGCCTTTCTCAGTAGGCTTCGGGGGACCTCCAGGGAAGGTGGGAAGATGCAGGGTTCTGGAAACTCCACTTCCAGTTTATGCACAGAGCAGGAATGCATCGGCTCAGCAGTTGGCTTCAGGCATGGCTGGATCCAGGGGTTCAGCTGCTCCCCCAGGGTGTGGTTCTGCTCCCTCTGGGATGCCCTGTGTCCTATCAGGTTCCGCCCTCTGACTCAAGGCAGCTCTCTGCAGTGACAATCACAGTATCAGTTCTTACTGGCCAGCCTAGTGCAACCGGGGCAGGCGGGGGGTCATGTGCCTTCACCTGTGGGGAGGTGAGGTCGGCCCCACGTGGGTGCAGGTGACCCCTAAAAGAGAGTAGGGAGTAGGGTGCTTTGCATCCCACAGGGGTGCCTGGCAATGGCAGGCAGGCACTCAGGAGCCCACTTGAACCCAAATCTCATTATTGCAAACACACCCCCATGTGGGACTGTGGCCCTGCACCCCAACCTGACATCTTGGGATTTTTTTCCTCTCCTTAAAATCTTGCCTGTTGCTATGTCACATCCAACAGAGGGGATTCCCTGCCCTTTTCCCATGAGCCAGCAAAGAGACTGGAGAGTGGGCCAGATCAGGAGCGGCAGGAACCTGGGGGGGTGCTGAGGGCAGGGCTCCAGCGGTTCTGAGACATGGAGAGCAGCGGGGGACACGGATAGCCCCCAGGGCACAGTGGGGAACATGGACAGTCCCTGGTGCTTCTGGGCAAACACTCTTAGGATTCTCGCCTTGCCTATCGAGGGACCCACGTGCTGGAAGTTTCTGGCAAAAGCATGTGGGAAATTGCTGATTGAGAATCAAAGAAACTGTACAATTGTTTTACATGCCTGGATTTCTGGTCTGCTGAGACTCACGGGATATGGGGAAGGGTGTGCCTTCCCCAGCTGTCTTAGAGATGCTACCAGGAGGTTGCAGGCCCTGCTGGGGCCCTAGTGGGATCTGCTGACATGCAGGATTGCCAGAGAACCTAGCTCTGGAAGGGCAACCCTACAAGCCGGGGGTGCCCGTGACTGCAAGCCTGCACATTCTGAGCAGAGGGGTTCTGGGGGGCAGGCAGGGCTGAGAGGGGTTTGGGGTAGTTTGCCACCCCAGGGATCCAGAACGTTTTTGTTTCTGGGCCGTTTATTCTAGAACCAAGAAGAAGAAAGCTCTGGGGTGGCTGCACATCTAGAAGACACAGGAGTTTGTTTTGCAGAGCAAGGATAAAGCTGTGTGGGAGAGAGTAGGACACAATGGGGGAAGCTTCTGGAATGTCGAGCTTGTGGACCGCTGGAGGGATGCTGGAGGTTCGTCCTCAGATCTGGATCTGAGAGACCCCAAAAGATGACGGCTCCGGGGTTGGTAGAGGAGGGCAGGGATTGTAGCCGGGGACACTTCACTGTGGGGGGCGGGGAAGCCGCTGCCGGCCCCCGGAAGTCGCAGTGGTGAACCAGAGGCTGTTGCCTAGCAACGAGCATTCCGCTGCCCCGCATCCCAGGCAGAGGGAGACATTTGGGCAGCGCCCCCAGCCGTCTGCTGCAGCCACAGGGTAGGCGACAGGGAGAGGGGAGATGGGGCGGGAGGGGGGCGAGGGAACCACGGGGATTTCGGGGACCCCAGAAAGGCAGGGCCTCAAAGCACACCCAGGGACAGAGTCTCCCCTCACCCCTGCATCTCGGCGCGGGGGTCGCTGCTCCCCGGAGAAGGCTGCGTGTCCCCGGAGCCTGGGGCACCCCGACTTCCAGGTCTCCGTGCAGGACGGTGCGCTGCGCGTGGGACTGCATGCCCAGCCTGGGCACCTGCGGGGAGGGGGACCAGCGTGCCTGGGGGATGGGCACCGGCTGGTCGCAGTCTGAGATGGGCCTGGGTGTTCAGCTTCCGAGGGGGGTCCCCCAGCCCCCCGCGATCTCCCCGCGTGGGCGGAGCCTGAGTCGCCAGGGGGCGGGTCCAGCGCTACCCAGTGGGAAACTTAAGAGACCAAACCGTTAGGAGAGATGGGGCCTGGATGGGTAGAACCGGGGATCCTGAGTGCTGGGCCCGCGGTCTCGTTCTCCGTGGGGTCAGTGTGGCCTGCAACTCATAGGGGAGCAGGAGAGAAGCGGCGGGGCCTGAAGCTCCAGGAGCGGGGCCTATAGGAGAAAAGAGGCAGGGTCTCTCACACACCTTCCACCTGCTGGTTCACTCCCCAAATGCAGCACTGGACCAGGGAACTCAGGAGCCAGGAGCTACCCCCGGCCTCCCCCACATGCATGGCAGGGACTCGGGGCCTGAGCTATCTTGTGTGGCCTCGCAGGTGCACGAACAGGGAGCCGGTGGGAAGCGGAGTAGCCCAGCCGGGGGCTCGTGGGTCGCACGTGGGATGCAGGCCTTGAGCCATGTGTGGGGTCTGCACCCCCAGGGCCAGGGGTTTGGACTCTGAGGAAGGGAGGAAGCTGGCTTGAGGGGCACTTTGCAGGCTGGGCACCTGGAGCCCACACAAATGGATGCCCACTGCGGCTTGGCCTCCGCACCGCGGAGGGTCTTAAAGAAAGGAAGCTGACTGGACTGTGCAATTCTCGGCGGGTGGGGGGGCTGGTGTTCCAACTTCTGCACCAGCGAGGGCGCTAAATGCCCGCAGCGCTGTGTGTGTGCAGGGGTGAGGCCTGCACCTCCGCCTCTCCCCCCACCCCACCCCCATCACGCCCGGGGGTCTCTGCTCCCCGAGACGGCGCGCCGAGCCAGCACCGGACCCCACACCTGCCCGCCCCTACAACCCCAACCCGCGCGAGCCCCCCGCCCCGCACCTGTCCGCCTCGCCCCTCCCCTGCCGCCTCGCGATTGGCCCGGGACGCCGGGCTCTGATTGGCGGCAAGTTCGCGGCCCGCGGCGGGGACAGTGGAGAAAGTGAGTCGGCCCGGGGCGGGGGCGGGGCGCGCGCGGGACCCGCTGGCCGGACGGCCCGCCCGGAGCGCCACTCGGCGCGGGACACGATGCGCCGGGCCCGGCTGCTGCCGCTGCTGCTGCTGCTGCCGCTGCTGCTGCTGCCGCTCCTCGCAGCCGCGGCCACCGCCGCCGCCAGCGCCGGGCCCGCCGTCGAGGCCACGGTCATCCCGGGCCGCCCGGCCGGGTAAGCCCCCCGCCGCCCGCACCCCTGCTCCGTCCTGACTGGGGGGTCGCGGAGGACCAGGACTCTGCGAGCTCACTTCTCCACCGTGGTTGGAAAAGTCTCCCACCCACCCCCTCCCCCAGGTGGCTGGCGTTGGTGGTGGAGCCCCTACTTTGTCGGGAGATTCTGAGAAGAGGGGGTTCCTTGGGGTGTGGCGGCGATGGGGAAGGCTCCGGGCAGTGCTGGGGCTTGTTTAGGGGGACATCCCCCCCATTTGTCTCAAGATGAGGCTGAGAGTCCTTCTGGAAGAGTAGACGGATGAATCCCCCCGTTAGGATGGGGCTCCCCCAGGTTTCTCGGGAATTAGGAAGAGCTGGAGGGGCCTTGTGCCGCTGAGAGGTCCTGGGGTTCCCGTGTTTAGGGGAGCTGGGTTAGTTCAAAGTGACCTGGAAGGGGGAGGAAGACGTGGACTGTGTGCAGGAAGATGTGGAGTGTGGGTGTGGGGGATTGTGCATATTTATGTGTGTGCAAGGTGAATGTGTCGAGTGTGTATGTGTGGGCGGGTGTGAGAATGTGTGTGTGTGTGTGTGTGAGGGACTGTGTGCGTGTAGGCACGAGTGTGTATGAGAGAGAGTGGGGGGCATATGTGAGACTGTGTGGGGGCAATTGTGTGTGTGTAGGTGTAGGGGTGAGTGTGTGTGTGAGGAAATGTGTGCGTGTAGAGACGAGTGTGTATGTGTGGGCGGGTGTGAGAATGTGTGTGTGAGGGAGTGTGTGTGTGTGAGGGAGTGTGAGGGAGTGTGTGTGTGTGTGTGTACGTGTAGGGGCGAGTGTGGGTGTGTACGTGTGGCGGCAAGCCTGTCTGGTCCCACCAGGACTGGCTGTGATTCCTAGGAGAGGACGGCAGGATTGCACGGGTGACTTCGCGGCCGGAGGTCCAGGCTCGGCTGGGGGGCCAGGGCCGACCCCCGCACCCGCCGGACGACCCCGAGGGGCGCCCGCTGCCCCGCACCCCGCGCGGCGTGACAAAGGCCGCGGACTCGGCTCTGCGAATGCGTTTAGTAACCCGAGCCGCGCCGGGGGCGGGGCCGGGCAGGGGTGAAGCCGCAGGCAGGGCGGGAGGGGACGGCAGCGGGCGCGGGGGTCCCCCAGGCTCGCCCCACTCTGCGTGCGCCCCCCGTCCCGCGTGAGAAAGGGGGTACCCGCCTCGGAGTGTCGCCCCTCCCAGCCTCCTCCAGCGCCGCTCGCTGGCCGCCCGCGCGCGCGTCCTCGGCCCCTGTCCCCCCTCGGCCTGCGGATAATGGACTTGTCTGACGGCGGGGGATGGGGGGCCGGGGTGGCTGCTGCACCGGAGCTGCTGCGAGACCCCTGTGCGCGCCCAGCTGCCTGGCAGAGCGACCCCTTTCCTCCGGCCCAGAGAGAGGGAGGCGCCGGCCGCAGGGCCCTCAGCCTGCAAGGGCACGAGTGGGCCTGAGCATGCGGGCTCCGGGATGCTCGGGCCCGGGCCGCCGCTCCCGGCCGCCCCTCCAGCTCAGCACCTCGCGGGACCCCGCGGTCCGAGCCCAGACTGTCCACCCCGGCCGCGGAGGTCTGTGCACGTGGCGCCACCTGCCGGCCAGGCCCGGGGTGGCTGGGACAGGGACGCGTGGGAGGACCAAGTCCTAGAGTTGGGCGCGGAGCTGCACTTAGAATTGGCTCTTTAAAAATATATATATATTTTTTAAACAACAAAGCCTTTGCAAATACATTTTCTATTAACACTTTACCGTTGCAGCCACTTTATAAGACGTGTAAGAATGCGGATTTCTGTGGCCACCAACCCTGGGGACTTGAAGGCCCTTTGCCTCCCATGGGGACACATGGGCAAACTGAGGCACGCTAATCACACATCTGTTTCCAGCTCCCTGGAGCCGCGAATCGGTTCCCCTGCCCCGCAGCTGCTCCCCTTTCGGGAGGACAGGGGTGTCGGTGGACCTGAGCGATTTCCACTCATTCCACTTTCATTCGTTGCAGCATCGTCGCCTGTCGCTGCTGTCCGGGTCAGACACCTAAAAGGACTCGCTGCACTCGAGGTGTGTTCCCCCAACCCCAGGGTGGGAGGTGGGCTTTGGGGGAACATGCATGCTTGGCTCTCTCCCCCATTCCACCCTGGGCCTTCATCCTGACTACAGAGGGGGGACAGAGACTTTGGTGTCCTTCCCCACTCAGCCACTGGCCTGTTCCCGAAGCTTCCTGCAGGGTCCAAAGATGTCGGCCTGAAAAGTGCACAGGCCACCAGCAGTGCCAGACTCCAGGGCCTCCTGGGCCCAGCCCCAGCCCCAGCCTCAACCCTGGCCTCAGCCCCAGTCCCAGCCCCAGCCTCAGCCCTGGCCTCAGCCCCAGCCCCAGCCTCAGCCCCAGCGTGAGCAAGAAACAGGTGTCTCTCAGCTGGCAGCCACTGACGTAAGTAAGCATGCCCCCCCCCCTCGCCAGGCCCTCCCCCAGGAACCCCTAGCTGGGCCACCCTTACCGCCACCCCTCTCTCCCCCTCCTGCCTGGGGGTCCCTCCTCCCCTACCCCAGCCTTGCCAGCCTGTCTCCTCCTCTGCCTTGCCCCTCGCTCTGTCTCTGCCTCCATGGCCTTCTCTGTGTCCTGCCAGCTCCGTCTGTTTCTCCAGACCGACCTCCCCCCTCCCACCTCTGCTGGCCTCTCCTTGCCTGTCTGGGCCTCTAATCTTTCCTCTCCCCTTCCTCTCTCGCCCTTCCTCATCTCCCACAGCCTTTACTTCTTTTCAAGCCTTAAAGAACCCTTACAACTTGGTCTCCAAAAACAGTCTGGGAAGTGGGGAGGTGGAGGGAGAGCAGAGCCACTACTGGGAGATCTGGACAGGTGCCCTGGGTGGCCAGGCAGCAATGGGGACTCAGCTCCTCTACCGTGACAACTGCCCCGCTGCCCCCTCCTGCCCAGGCTCCAGGAGGCCCAAGCTCTGCTGAGGCTCCGGCGGCCCTGGGGGCCGGGCGGCCGGGCACTGCTGCTGCGCAGGCGGCCCCCACAGCGCACCCCAGCCAGCCAGGCCCGCGGTAAGCATGCCCGCCCCTTCCTCCCCGCCCCAGCCCCGGGAGTTGGGGGGGGCGTGTTCCGGGCCAGATAAAGCTGTCTGGTTCCCACGGTCCAGCCCCAGCCGCCGCCTACCGTTCCCCCCCCCCCCATTGTGGCCCAACCTCCCTCAGGACACAGCGGCCACCTCCTGGGACCCCAGCGTCCGGCCCCACGAGGTGAGCCCGGGACAGGCCCAGAGGCAGGCCAGAGGCGCTGACCCGCGGGGGTGGGGCCGGGAAGCCAGGCGTCCGGCCGTCCAGGCTCCCGCAGTCGCCCAGGGGAGCCCTGGCCCGGTGGAACTCAGCCTGACCAACTCAGACAACAAAAGCGATTGTGCGGGTTGGCGCCTGCCCCGGGCACCCAGGGCTGTGCGGGGCGGCTAGGGGGCAGAGACCTCCCCACCCTCCCAGACCCTGCCGCTACCCCTGTGTTTTGTGACAGCCCCCTCCCACCAGGAGTCTCAGCCACCCTCTGAACCCCCTGCTTGCCCTGGCCTTCCGCCCATATGTGTCCCCTCCACCCTAAAGTCTTCCAGATGTAAGACTGGGGCCAGATGTGAGGACCCCCGCCCACAGCCTCAATCCATCACTTCCTCTCATCCATACTGACTCCCTCCCACCAGGTGTGTGGGGGGGCTGGCCAGATGTGGCTGCATCTTCAAACGTCCTGCCACCCACTGCAGCTCAGGCTCCAGACCCCTGTACCCTTCCTGTATTACTTCCTGTACCCAGGTGCACCGCCCACCCGCCCTTCCCTCCGCCAGGTGTGCCACTACGGCGACCCCTGTATATATGAGGTTCCTTCCCCGCGCCTGGCCGGGAAGATGAGCTTGCAACACCCCCCAACTCCCAAGTGCAGCGCACCCCCTCTTTACGGATTCGGCTCCGCCAGGAGGGCAAGCCGCTCGCCCCCCACCTGTTCTCTGCTCCGCCGCTCCCCTGCGACTTGCTGGTGCGCGGGTGGGGGGCCGTCGGGGCGCCCCCTCCCCGCGGTGAGCCCAGCGCTCAGCCTTCGCGCCTCTGGCTGGGCGCCCGGCCCCACGCGCCCCCGCGCGGCCGCCCGGCAGGGAGTGGTGGGGAGCGGGGCCGGGCCGGGGGGGCCGAGCGGGGGCGCGGCCGTCCTCCCCCGCGGGCGGGCGGGCGGGCGCGGCCGGGCCCCTCGGGCGGGCTGGGGCGGCGGCGCGGCGGAGCGCGGCGCTGCAGCCATGGCGGGCGGCGCGCGGCTGCTCGGGGTGTCGCTATTGGTGCTGCTGGCGCAGCTCGGGCCGCAACCCGGCCTGGGGCGGCCGCGAGAGCGACTCCGCGTGCGTTTCACCCCGGCCGTGTGCGGCCTGCGCTGCATCCATGGGCCCACCGGCTCCCGCTGTACCCCGACCTGCGCGCCCCGCAACGCCACCAGCGTGGACAGCGGCGCGCCCGGCGGGGCGGCCCCCGGGGGACCCGGCTTCCGCGCCTGTGAGTGCGGGGTGGTGGTCCCGAGGGAGGGTGCCCGGGTGGGGTGCGGTGGGTTAGAGTGGGGGGGGGAGGACCCACTGGGATGCGGTAGGCAATCCCTCCCACCTCCCGTGGGGAGAGAGAGCCCAGATGTGTGCACTTTTCGCTGGGGAACCTCCGGGCTAGTTAGGGAAAGGAACCCCCAAATTTCTAGCTTTGGGGTTTTGTGCCTGAGAGCCCAGAATTTGCAAGCCGAAAGTGCTCCTGGGGACCCATGGTGTCCCCACGTGAGAGGATGGGGCCCCGCTCTCCTGGCTTTAGTCAAAGTGGAGATCTCAGAACTTTGGGGAACGTGGCCTGAATTCTGGGACCCCGAGTGAGGTATCTTCCTGGGGACCTGGAGAGAACGAGCTGCAGGGCCGCAGGGGAAGATGTCTCGGTTTGTGGGTGTTAAGAGTCTGGCACGCAGTTGCCCGCGAGAATTGTGGTAAGGGAGGCTGCTCTGGAGGGCCCACAGGTGGGGGTGGGGTGTCCCTGCAGACCTGGGTCCCACGTGTGGAGGCCCCTGAAAGAGGGGCCCCCTGGGGAGCGAGGGAGCCGGGAGTGTGCGCAACCGGCACCCCTCGAGTTGAGCAGCTGGGGCGGGGGTGCTCAGGTGAAGTGCAGAGGCCGAGCCACCTGTTGTCCCAGAGGGCCGGGGTGGCCAGGGCTTTGCAGGTCCGCGGCGTCCAGCACCCCCCGCCTCTCGGGCCCTCCGGAGTGGGGGAGAGGGGGCCCCTGGCGCCGAGAACTCGCCCAGCCTGGCCCCCAGCCAGCCCAGCCCGGGTCGGCGTGAGCTCATCTCCCGCCGGAGCCCCGCCCGTGGCCACGCCTTCTCTCCTCCCCTTCCTCCCTCCCAGCCGGGCCCCAACGCGCCCGTGCCAGGCGCCGTGCCCAGGCGGGTGCCAAGCCCCTGGAGGCACGAAAAAGGGGCATGCGAAGAGGGAGCTGACCTCAGCAGGACCCCAATGTCCTGAGCTCGCCGCTGGTCTCCGGACTGGGGGGCGTGGGGCCCTGCCTGTGCAGCCGCCAGCCCCGGGGGGGTGTGGGCGCCCTCAGGGAGCTGCGCAGGGGGCCTGCAGGCCGGCCAAGAAAAGGCAGCACAACACCCCTGGAGCCTGGGCAGTGTATCCAGGCAGGGTTAGTTTCGCCCTGCCCAGCCACTTGCAGACCCTTCTCGCCCTGGGATCTCAATCCCTCCCCTAAGCCTGACCCAGGCCCTGCCACTCACTCAAGGTCAGTCCTGGTCTGACCCTCAAGCCCAGAGGCTGAGTCCCCTCCCTACCCCATCTCCAGCCTCAAGGTTCATAGGACACCCCACACCATAGACCTCCCTTGCGTTGCCCTGGGCCATGCTATGCCCACCCTAGGAGAAAGCCCTGCCCAGCACCGCTGCCCCTCCGTTTCCCCCACAAAGTTCCCACTTGCAGGCAGCTCTGCCTCCTGCCTCTCTCAACGCTGCTCGCCCAGTCCGTGCATCTTCAGGGGGACTTGAGAGCTGCGCCTCCCAAGGGGTTTGCAGGTGCTGGGAGGTGCATCTCCCCCGTGAAATGGTGACGGGGAGGGGAGCGGCTCCCCAGTCAGTGGAGGCTCTTACTTCTGAACTCAGGACGTCCACATCTTCCCTATTCTCCGTCCTCTCTAACTGGGGGTTTCCTAGAGGGCCGCAGACCCTCAGTGTGTGAGGTAACTGGCCACGAGGACTTGGGGACGACCCGTCAGGAGGGAGCAACCCTTCTGAACTGAGGCCTCCGACTGGGCAGCGGTGCCTCCCCGTGGCCCCAGTCGCCCGCTCCCCGCCTCCCCGCGGCACAGCTGCCTCCAGCTGTTCTCTCCCCAGGGGAGACAGGGAGGAGGTGCCCTCGGAGGAGACGACCGGTCCCCCCAGTAGGCTCGGCGTGCCCGGGGCTCCCCGAGGGTCCGGAATGCGGAGCCGCCGCCCTGCCCCCCGCCGCACCCCACTCTTTGTTTACCCCTGCCGCACAGCTGGCAGCGCCCCGCCCAGAGGTGGCCGGTGGCCCAGCGAGGGCGCGCCGGGCGGAGAGGAGACGCGCGCTCCCGCCCGCGCCCCTCCCCGAGCTACCGGAGGGCGGGAAGGCCGAGCTCGGAGTGGGGGGGAGGGCGGGGACACGGCGGGGTTGGGGGATGGAGAGAGAGAGAGAGAGAGAGAGAGAGAGGTGATGTGAGCGGGGCCTGAAGGGAACGCATGGCCAGTGGGCGGAGCTGGGGCGGCCGGGCCGGGAGGAAGTGTGGGCGGGTACAGGGGCTGAGGGGGCCGACTGGGAGTGGGGACTTGGGCCCAGGAGCAGCTAAAACGCAATTGTTGGAGTCAATGGAAGGGAGGGGCGCGAACAGCCAAGGACCCCGCGCCAGACAAGGGCACGGGAAGGGCTGAGTGCTAAGGCCGAGATGCAGGGGCGGGGCCGGGGCCTGGACAAGTGGACTCGGTGGGATCCGCCGGCCTCGGGATGGTGGGACTGGAGCTGGTTGAGGCTGCAGACCACGGAGGACTGAGGCATGGCGGCCGCAGGTGGGGCGAGCGGTGCAGACCGGAGCGCAGTTGCAATACTCAGTGCTGAGCTAGTGGCAGGTGTTACATAGCAGGTGTGTGCAGACTCTGAGTCTTCGTTCCCCGCCCCTCCATTCATGCTCCCCCAGACCTGTGTCCTTTGATCTGTCACAACGGTGGTGTGTGCGTGAAGCCCGACCGCTGCCTCTGCCCGCCCGACTTCGCTGGCAAGTTCTGCCAGTTGCACTCGTCGGGTGCCCGGCCTCCAGCCCCGGCCATGCCAGGCCTCACCCGCTCCGTGTACACGATGCCACTGGCCAACCACCGCGACGACCAGCACGGTGAGGCGGGGTGTAGCCAGACCTCGCGATTCCCTTTGCGCTGCTCGCCCTTGCCGCCACTCCCCCACAATGGGCAGTACCAGCCGTGGGAGACCCAAGTAGTCATGCCTTTGTGCGCCCGTGCCCCCCGCCCCTCCAGGCGTGGCGTCCATGGTGAGCGTGCACGTGGAGCATCCGCAGGAGGCGTCGGTGGTGGTGCATCAAGTGGAGCGTGTGTCCGGCCCTTGGGATGAGGCGGACGCCGAGGCCGTGGCGCGGGCGGAGGCGGCGGCGAGGGCGGAGGCGGCGGCGCCCTACACGGTGCTGGCCCAGAGCGCGCCGCGCGAGGACGGCTACTCGGACGCCTCCGGCTACGGTTACTGCTTTCGGGAGCTGCGCGGAGGCGAAGTGAGAAGCGCGGCGGGCGGGGAAGGACCCGGAGCAGCGTGCCTCCTCCCAGCAGCAGCAGCGCGCTCACGCACTTTCGCCCACACAGTGCGCGTCGCCGCTGCCCGGGCTCCGGACGCAGGAGGTGTGTTGCGGAGGGGACGGCGCGGCCTGGGGCGTTCACGACTGTCAGCCGTGCTCCCAGCACGTGGGTAAGCCCCGAGCTGCAGGGCGCCGCGGGTAGCGAGGGTACCCTGCCTCTCCTCCGAGCCAGCACGCAGGTGTAACCTGGTCCCGGGTTGCTAGCCACGCTCGCCCGGTTGTCTCATTTCCTGTCTGAATCTGGCCATAGCGCTCTGGGACCATCCCACCCCTCGTGTTTGGACTTGGGTCCCTCTGTGCTCACCTCGACCCTGGCCTTGGCGCCACCCACGCTCTTCTGAAGCCTGCTAAAAGCCATCTTCTGGTTCCTCCCACGGAGGGCGTAGGCCACACCCACTCCCTTCTGATTCCACCTATCTGTTCCTGGACCACCTGACTCCTCTCTCCATAGGGAACGCCCACCGAATGGGCACCCCAGATGGACCTTGCCCAACGGGCTTTGAAAGAGTGAACGGGTCCTGCGAAGGTGACTTGGGACAGGGAGGGTGGTGGACAGGGAGGACTTGGCTTCGAGCAGCCAGGAATGGCCAGGGTCCGACCCCGTGGTGACCTCACTCCTTGCAGATGTGGACGAGTGCGCGACCGGAGGGCGCTGCCAGCACGGGGAGTGTGCCAACACGCGCGGCGGGTACACGTGCGTGTGCCCCGACGGCTTCCTGCTCGACTCCTCCCGCAGCAGCTGCATTTGTGAGTTGCATGCACGCGTGCGCGAAGGGCCGAGACTGACTCCCACCCAGCCCCGTCCCAGACGCCCCAGCCCCCACCAGGACCCCCGCGGCTTCTCACCACCCTCTTCCCGGGGCCTCCCTGAACCCCTCAGACTCCCGCTGTCGGGTCCCTCGGCTCTCCTTCAGACCCCGCACCCCCCTTCCCCATCCTGCAGCTCAACCCTGAAAAATTCCCTCCCCGTCCCCCAGCCCAGCACGTGATCTCAGAGGCCAAGGGACCCTGTTTCCGCGTGCTTCGCGAGGGGGGCTGCTCACTGCCCATCCTGCGCAACATTACCAAACAGATCTGCTGCTGCAGCCGTGTGGGCAAGGCCTGGGGTCGCGACTGCCAGCTCTGCCCACCCTTTGGCTCTGGTAAGCGTGGCCCAGGAGCCCGAGGCCCATCACCCTCAAACCCGACTGCACCTTGGCCCAGTCCCCCCTCCACCTCTGACACCTGCTCACCTGAGCCTGAACCCACCCTGCCTACAAGTAGAAGTCAACCAAGATCACCCCCGCCCCAGAGACAGGCCCCCTTCCCTGCGGTTGGAGCAGCTCTGCAGCTCCCGAGTCCCCACTACATTCAGCATAGACCCTAACCCACATATGACCCCTCACCCCCTTACCTCCCTACCTAGACAAAACCTGCAGTTTGTTGTCCTCCAGATCAGGCCGCTGTAGGCACAGCAGGCCCTGCTGCCCACCTGGGTCCCTGTGACTGTGGGGTGGGGGAGGATCTTGGCCCCACCTTCACCCTTCAGGAGGTCCCCTTCTCTGATAAGGTCACCACCCCACCCCGCCACGAGGCTCTTAGCCACTCACCGTGTTCCTCTCCGGCCCTCCGCCCTCTCATGTTCCCAGAGGGCTTTCGGGAGATCTGCCCAGCTGGCCCTGGCTACCACTACTCTGCCTCTGACCTCCGCTACAACACCAGACCCCTGAGCCAGGAGCTCCCTCGCGTGGCCGTCAGCCGGCCACGTGTCCCACCTGCCACTGCTCGGCCATCCACAGGTGAGCTCCCCCCGGGGGAGGGGGCCGTACTCCAGACACTGACTGAGCTCCCCACTCCACTCCCAGGCAAAGGAGACACGTGGGGACACCCAAGTCCAGCTGCCCACTAATCAGCACCCTTTGCTTATTAGGGGTACTACCCACCTACCGTCCAGAACTCCGGCCAGAGCCTCAGCCCAGCCATGAGAGGCCCAGCTATGAACGACCCAGCCCTGAGCGGCCCAGCCATGAACGACCCAGCCATGAGAGGCCCAGCTATGAACGACCCAGCCCTGAGCGGCCCAGCCATGAACGACCCAGCCATGAGAGGCCCAGCTATGAACGGCCCAGCCATGAGCGGCCCAGCCCTGAGCGGCCCAGCTATGAACATCCTGCCCCTGAGCGGCCCAGCTATGAGCGTGTCAGCCCTGAGCAGCCCAGCCATGAACGGCCCTTGCCTAGCATCCCTGCCTGGACTGGTCCTGAGATAACGGATTCAGGTGCAGTATGGGGAGATTTTTTTTAAAAGATTTATTTATTTTTATTGGAAAGTCAGATATACAGAGAGGAGGAGAGACAGAGAGGAGGATCCAAACGGCCGCAATGGCTGGAGCTGCGCTGATCCGAAACCAGGAGCCAGGATCTCTTTCAGGTCTCCCACGCTGATGCAAGGTCCCAAGGCTTTAGGCCATCCTCGACTGCTTTCCCAGGCCACAAGTGGGGAGCTGGATGGGAAGCGGGGCTGCCGGGATTAGAACCGGTGCCCATATGGGATCCCGGCGTGTGCAAGGCGAGGACTTTAACCACAAAGCTGTCGCTCCGCCTCCCCCCCTTTTTTTTTGAAAGGCAGATTTACAGAGATGGGAGAAAGAGCTATCCACTGGTTCACTCTAAGTAGTCACCACAGCCAGGACGGGGCCAGGCTGAAGCCAGGAGCCCAGAGCTTTTCCCATGTGGGTGCAGGGGCCCAAGCTCGTGGGTCAACCTGTGCTACTTTCCCAGGCACATTAGCAAGGAGCTGGATGGGAAATAGAGCAGCTAGGGCTCGAAGTGCCGTCCGTCTGGGATGCTGCTGTGGCAGGTGGCACTTAGCCTGCTGCACCAATGGCACTGGGCCCAATAGGGAGACTTGGTGGAGATATTGCCGGAATTGCTCTAGAAGAGGCTGCAAGGTGAAGATTCTGGGCTGGAGCAGATAAGGATGTCACAAACGGAGGGGACGTGACAAGATGTTCATTTGTCAGATGGAGAAGCGTTTACGCTCGGGGGACTGTGAGGATTGTATGGGGGTTCAACGGTGGAGGAAATTCTAACGGGCTGTCCACCTCTCCCAGGTGCTGCCCTGGGAATGTGTCAGCGCAATCCCCAAGTCTGTGGCCCAGGACGCTGCATACCCAGGCCCAGCGGCTACACCTGCGCCTGCGACCCAGGCTTCCGGCTCAGCCCCCAGGGCACCCACTGCTTGGGTGAGCCTGATGGAGGCGGTGGTGGGGGTGAAGGGGTGTTCCTTGCCCCCTGTGACCAGGCTCCTCTGTGCCCTCAGACGTGGATGAATGTCGCCGTGTGCCCCCGCCATGTGCCCCCGGGCGCTGTGAGAACACACCGGGCAGCTTCCACTGCGTGTGTGGCCCCGGTTTCCGAGCTGGTCCCAGGGGTGCTGAGTGCCTGGGTGAGAGATGGTGACGGCCCACCCAGGCCTGGGATCTGCTTACCCCGTCCTCACCCGCCATTGCAGCCCTCTGTGCCCCGCTGCCCTCTGGGCTGGCAGGTGCCCCAAAAGGCTGGGACCCCACCCCTGCCTTTGTCCCGCCTCCCCACCCTGGCCCCACTCTGCTAAGTAAGCCTCCAGCTTGTTTCTGTCTTCTGCAATGATTCTGATCACAACCTCTGATTTCATCCCTTCCAAACCAGAGCCCCAAACTGCCCCCTTCCATCTCTAGCCCTTCCTTGCTCTTGCTGGGTTTCCAAAACTGCCCTTCTCACCCTTGCCCTGCCTTCCCTGGACAGTCCTCCAGCAGCCCCTCACTCTCAGCTTGGGTCCCACCGGTTCCCCCCAGCCTTGGTCCTAAGCTGCTCTCTCCAGCCCCGCCCCCACACTCCAAGCCCCACCTTCCTGCCCGAGGCCCCGCTCAGTCTGGCCTGGGTCCCGTTGGCACCTCCCTAGCCCAGCTGCTCCAGTCGCAGCCGCCCACTCTGTGCCAACAGACGTGGACGAATGCCACCGCGTGCCGCCGCCGTGTGACGGTGGGCGCTGCGAGAACACGCCAGGCAGCTTCCTGTGCGTGTGCCCTGCCGGATACCAGGCGGCCCCACACGGAGCCGGCTGCCAGGGTGAGGGGCCGGGAAGGGGATGTGGGGTGGGGTACATGGGCAAAAGGGGGAGCTGGCTGGTCAGGGACAGAGGACAGGGCTTCTTGGAGCCAAAGAGGGCCCTGGACATGGTCCGGCCCTGGGCTGGGAGTAGGAAGGCTGAGTCATGGAGAACGCAGAGGCAGGGTGAGGAGGGGAGGGTCAACAGTGGGGCATGAGACAGTGTGTGGTTCTGGGAGGCTGTAATGAAGAGTGAGAACAGGTGAGAGGCTGGGCCAGGGGGAGGTGAGGGACCAGAGGAGGACCACTCCCCCGACCCCTGCCCCGGCTCCTGGCCCCATACAGATGTGGACGAATGCACCCAGAACCCAGGCCTGTGTGGCCGAGGCGCCTGCACCAACCTGCCTGGCTCTTTCCGCTGTGTGTGCCCGGCTGGCTTCCGGGGCTCGGCATGCGAGGAGGATGTGGACGAGTGCGCTCAGGAACCTCCGCCCTGTGGGCCGGGCCGCTGCGACAACACGGCGGGATCCTACCACTGTGCCTGCCCTGCCGGCTTCCGCTCCCGTGGCCCCGGGGCCCCCTGCCAAGGTGAGGGTGCCAAGACCAGACCTATGTGCCACTATCTGCTTGGGGGACAGTGTGTGGGGGAGGTGCTAAGGGGTTCCAGAGTCTTCAAAAGAAGCCTGCGCTCCCACCGCCTTGACACTGAGTGTTGTGTTATGGGAACCCGGAGGAAGATAAGGAGCAGAAAGGGGAATGAGGACGCCAGAGCTGGGGAGGTGTTTACTGGGGAAGGGAGGGAGGGGACAGGGTAGGGCTGGGGGCACTGTGGCTGGTGATGGCAGTGGGCGCAGACCTGGGCCGCCTCCTCATCCCGAGGGGTCCCCTCTTCTTCCTAAGACGTGGATGAGTGTGCCCGCAGCCCCTCGCCCTGTGCCTACGGTCGATGCGAGAATACACACGGCAGTTTCCAGTGCGTCTGCCCCACAGGCTTCCAGGCCAACGCTGCTGGCTCTGCGTGCGAAGGTGAGGCTGGGGAGGGAGGGAGGAGCGTGCAGGGGCCAGGGGAGGGGGCATGGGGCTTCTCCTCCAAGGCCACCGTGTCCCCTGATGCTCCCCAGATGTGGATGAGTGTGAGAACCACCTGGCATGTCCCGGGCAGGAGTGTGTGAACACACCTGGCTCCTTCCAGTGCAGGGCCTGTCCTGCTGGCCACCAGCTGCACCGTGGCAGGTGCACAGGTAAGACAGACCAGACCATGGCTGGACCTTGGTCACAACCTGGCCCCTAACCTCCTGACCGAGGCTTATCCAGACCACAACCTCTGGACCTGATGGAGCGCCTGGCCCACACTGTGGGATTCCTGGGCCCAGACTGCAAGCCTGTGACTTTTGACTCTGAATGTGACAATACACGGTGTGACTCATGGATGTTTCATGTGACCTTGGCTGTGACATCTGACCCTTGTTGCACCCTCAGACTACAACCCTTGAATGGCAGCTGTGACCCCTGAATTTGACCCCAATCGTAAACGCAGCCATAACCCCAACAACTCTGACTGTAGTTCTTGCTTGCATCTCACTGTCCCCACTCTTTAGAATTCCTTTCCTGGGACCTGTTTGGGTTCATGATTCCTGACTCACAGCAGAATTCCAGCCCCTGACCACCAGCTTTGATCCTTACTAATCCCAGATAGTCCCACAGGATTCCCAGAATCAGGGAAGAGCTTCCTCCATCTCCTCCCCCCCATGACCCCTCCGCCCCAGGGGCTGCATCCTGTGATGTGGCCTTGACTGGAACCCTGCTACCACAGACATAGATGAATGCAGTTCTGGCGCCCCGTGCGGTCCCCACGGCCACTGCACTAACACTGAAGGCTCCTACCGCTGCAGCTGTGCGCCAGGCTACCGGGCACCGGCGGGTCGGCCCGGGCCGTGTGCAGGTGGGTAACCTGGGACCGGAGGCTGTGCTCCTGGGCAGCTGGGTAGCGGCTGGGGGGCGTGTGGGAAGCGCTGTGGGCAAGGTTGTGGCTTTGTGAGTGGGGCTCAGGTTGGAGGGTAAGTCAGGTGGCCGGACTCTCCACCTCTCACACACCTCTCACACATCCTAGATATAAACGAGTGTCTAGAAGGAGACTTCTGCTTCCCTCATGGCGAGTGCCTCAACACCGACGGCTCCTTCACCTGCACCTGCGCCCCTGGCTACCGACCTGGACCCCGTGGAGCTTCTTGCCTTGGTCTGTACCCAGGCTGGGCCTGGACCCAGAGTGGGTGGACCTTAGTGGGTGTTAGGCAGGTGTCTTAGGGTGCCAGGTGGGCGGTCCCCGGGGAGGACGGGACCTGCTGGGTGAGTGGGGTCCCGGAGAGGCGTGTCTGGGGAGGAGGAGCCCCCTGGGTGTCCGATGGGCTGTCCCGCAGACGTGGACGAGTGCAGCGAGGAAGACCTTTGCCAGAGCGGCATCTGCACCAACACCGATGGTTCCTTCGAATGCCTCTGCCCGCCGGGACACCGTGCCAGCCCGGACCTCGCCTCCTGCCTCGGTGAGACACCCCGCTCGCACCCTCGCCCTCCTGCTCCCAGGAGGTGGTCCTCCACTTGACCACCTGCTTCGCACGTCCTGCCCTCACAGACGTGGACGAATGTCGCGAGCGAGGCCCGGCCTTGTGCGGCTCGCAGCGCTGTGAGAACTCTCCCGGCTCCTACCGCTGTGTCCGGGACTGCGACCCTGGCTACCACGCGGGCCCAGAGGGTACCTGTGATGGTGAGGCACCCCTCCCCGCCCGCAGCTCCTACCATGGGGACTCAGGAAGGGGCCACACTTGGACTAAGGGGAGATCTCCATATGTTGCACCCTCGCTCCTACCATCAGGCCTCTGGGGTGTCCAGGACACCAGCCACCACATGCCTCCCCTGTACCGGACACACTCCAGCCAGGAGCCAGGCCATGCCTCTCTTGTGGAGGCCACTCAGACCCCTTAGTAGCTTGAGGCCAAGGGTCCATGTGTCTTTTGCTGTTTGGGTCTGCCCTCGCCTTGCTTGCCCTCCCCACCACTCATTCCTTCCAGCTGTCTCTCCAAAGAGACCCAGCCCTGGCTGCCCTGGGGCCCGTCTATTTCCACCAGGCAATTTTCCGAATTTTCTCTGAGTGCTGGCACTGACTGTAAAGGCCCCACCCCCTCACTGTCTCCCCTGGCAGGTCCTCTCCCAGGCTCCAGCCCCCGGGGGGGCACACAGCCCCGCCCCTTCTTGTCTTTGCTCCACCTTCCGACGCGCCCTCTGCCCAGTCTTGATTTTCCAGGTTGTCCCTAGTGCCGGTCCCTGCCTTCTCCTCTGCAGGGGAACCATGCAGATCTGGGGGCTGCAGTGGATGGGGTGAGGTCAGTGTTGCAGGAACACGTGAGACAAAATACACCCTTGGCTCTCTGGTGGCGATGCCTGTGACTTGCCCAACTCTGGTTTTACACATTAAGCACGAGAATCCACGAAGCTCCTACTGTGCGCCGGGCCCTGGAGAAACAGTAGGAAATGAATCCAAGCAGTGTGGGGTGAGGAAAGGAAGATGGATAATGAACGTGGGACCAGAGACAGGATTCATTCTGGAAGTCTTCTGGGGGCACCAGCCATGGGTCAGGCTCTGTGCCCTGGGATACAACAAGGAGAGGCGCCAGCTGTCGTGGTGTGCCCTGTAAGGAGGTGACAGAAAGACGGAAGTGGCATTAGGAGCTTGCGAATCAGGCTTTAGAGTCTCCTGCCCGCTTCCCCACCTCCCCCACAGATGTGGACGAGTGCCAGGAGTACGGCCCTGCCATCTGTGGAGCCCAGCGCTGTGAGAACACCCCAGGGTCCTACCGCTGCACCCCAGCCTGTGACCCCGGCTATCAGCCCACACCAGGAGGCGGATGTCAGGGTGCGTGGCAGCCGAGTCCTGCGCGAGGGGCCGGCGGAGGGAGAAGGGAGCTACAAGACCCAAAATTGCGTGGCCTGACCGTGTGCTGCTTGCAGATGTGGACGAATGCCGGAACCGGTCCTTCTGCGGTGCACACGCCGTGTGCCAGAACCTGCCGGGCTCCTTCCAGTGCCTCTGCGACCAGGGCTATGAAGGCGCGCGGGACAGGCGCCACTGCGTGGGTACGGGCTCCAGGGTGACAGGTGTCATTGCACAGGTGCGCGCTCCAGGTGCTGGGCGGTGCCTTGGAGTCAGGCTCTCTCCTCCTCTCGTTGTGTCCAAAACATTGTGAACTTGAGAGTTGTTGGAATTCATCTCCAAATCCCCATTCGAGCTCTCTTAGTGCTGAAGCATTGATGGACTTATTTCAAAGTCAGAGTGACACAAAGAGAAAGAGAGAGATCTTCCATCTGGTGGTTCACTCCCCTAACAAGGCCACGGACACAGCTGGGTCAGTGCAAAGCCAGGAACCAGGAGCCTCCTCTGGGTCTATCACATGGGTACAGGGGGCCCAAGCACTTGTTCCATCCTCTTCTGCTTTCCCAGGCACTTTAGCAGGGAGCTGGATGAGAAGTGGAGCAGCCAGGACTCGAACCAGCAACCATCAAGGATGCTGGTGTGGCAGGTGATAGCTTAGCTCACTGTGCTGTACTGCAACACCGGCCCCTTCCTATTCTATTTGAAAGCTGAACTTCAGCGCTTGGCAACCACAGAACTTCGTGAACCCCGACTCCTGTATTACAGTGGGAGCTGTCATTCGGCCTGCAGTGTGGGGATGAGAGTTTAGGATCGGGTGGCTTCATCCTGACAGCAGCGTGTCACCTCATGTGTGATCACCCTGTGAGCCGGGAGACAAAGAGAGCAGCTAGGTAGACCTTGAACCCCAGTCTCCCTACAGGGACTCGGAGAATGCCAGCTCCCCCAGCACACACACACACACACCAGGCCCGCCTCTCTGATGCCATCGTAGGGGTAAAGTCTGTACCTACATGCCTCCCGCCATTAACATGAAGATGTCAGAGAGAAAACACCCATGTGGTGTTGGGGGTCAGGACCGCTTAAGCCGTAACTATCTCCACGCTTGTTACCTGCTCACAGACGTGAATGAGTGTGAGACGCTGCAGGGGGTGTGTGGATCCGCCCAATGTGAGAACGTGGAAGGCTCCTTCCTCTGCGTGTGCCCCAACAGTCCTGAGGAGTTCGACCCCATGACTGGACGCTGTGTTCCCCCACGGACCGCTGCCGGTAAGGCGGGCGTTATCTGTTTAACTGAGGGCTTCCTGATGTGGACAGCTGCCATCAGTGAAATGCTGTTGTTTTAAACTCTTCAGAACACATGGGTTAGCATGGGTGTCCGGAGAACTGCAGCCTGGCCTGGGCCCTTCCTGGGGCACCCACGGTGACCAGGAGATGCCACTCTGTGCTCAAGGGGCTCACAGTCTGATGGGGCAAATGGAGATGTCACCAGACAATGACGAATTGGAGACACCAGAGTGGGGCATGAGGAAGCACTGGCCAGAGGGAATGCGATGCCTGGCCTAGCCCTGGGGGAGACGGGGCGCTTCCTGTAGGAAAGGCAGAGGGTGCGGAGTTCCCAGGCACGGCCAGGGTCCAGCGAGGCAGGAGAGGCCCGGGCAGGGCCGGAGGCAGAGCGCCTGGCGGGATGAGAGGGGCACGGCTGGCGGCAGTGAGAGTGTTGCCTGTGGCCGCCAGGGCAGCCCTGCTCATGGGCACCATGAGGGTTTTGAGCAGGAAAGTAGGATAATCACATTTTTTAAAATATAGGATTTATTTATTTTATCTATTTGGAAAGCAGAGCTTTAGGGGGGCGGGGGAGACAGAATCTTCCAGTCACTGGTTCACTTCCCAAACGGCCATAAAAGCCAGAGCCGAGCCTATCTGAAGCCAGGAGCCAGGAGCCTCTTCCGAGTCTCCCACGCAGGTACAGGGTCCCAAGCACTTGAGCCATTCTCCCAGTACTTTGTCGGGTCATTAGCAGGGAACTGGATTGGAAATAGAGCAGCCAAGACTTGAACTTGTACCCACATGATATGCAGGTGCAGAAGACAGTGGCCTAACTTGCTATGCCACAGCCCTAATCAAGGCTTATAAAAGCTTTGTTTATTGGAAAGGCAGAGTGACAGGGAAAGACGGTGAGCGACAGATGGCTACGGTGGCCAGACCAAAGTCGGAGCCTGGAACTCCCTCCGGGTTTCCAACATGCGTGGCAGGGGCCCAGGCACGGGGTCATCCTCCTTCTGTTTTTCCAGATGCATTAGCGGCGAGCTGCCTGGACTGGAACTGGTACTGATGCTGGCATTGCTAGCGGTAGCTTAATGTGCAGTGCCACCCTAACACCAGCCCCCTAGAATCAGGATTAGAAGGTTCTGACCGCTATCTGCAGATGACTGAGGATGCAGAGGGAGCAGTCAGGGGCAGGGCCGGGCGCAGGGCAGCATGGGGCGGGGACCCAGGCAGTGACCGCAGGAGGGGAGGAGGGCACGTGTAAACACCAGGTGGCCAGGGTGTTGTGGATGAAACCTGTAGCCCCGTTTGGGACACAGTGGATGTGGAGATCCAGGGAGGGGTCCAGGAGGCTGGGGAAATCCGCCGTCAGCCACTTCTTGCCTGTAGGGACAGAGTGTGCATATGGTGGTGGGGGGGCTGCCAAGATGATGGGGTGAAATGACAGAAAGGGAGTGATGGGTGGCTGGGAGGAATGGGGTCAGCCAGTGCTGCCCCAGCCTCCTTCCCCATCTGTGACAACAGGGTCTGGAGGCCCACACTGAAGCCCCTTGTCTCCCTAGGTTCATTCCCAGCCTCCCAGCCCCAGGCACCTGAGAGTCCCAGCCTGCCGGCCAGGCCGCCCCCACCAGCCCCGCCCCGGCGGCCCAGCACCCCCAGGCAGGGAGCCGTGAGCAGCGGGCGCCGCGAGTGTTACTTCGACACAGCAGCCCCAGACGCGTGTGACAACATTCTGGCCCGGAATGTGACCTGGCAGGAGTGCTGCTGTACCGTGGGCGAGGGCTGGGGCAACGGCTGCCGCATCCAGCAATGCCCAGGTCCCGAGACAGGTGGGCAGGTCTACAGGAGGGAGCTAGCTGCCAGTCGCATGGGCATGAGAGGTAGACACACATGGAGCAGGAGGGCCTGGTAGGTGGGCAGTGCAGAGCAGGGCAGGGGCTGGCAGATGAGCAGTGCAGGTGCAGAGCAGGGGCTGGCAGGTGGATAGTGCAGGGCAGGGCAGAGGCTGGCAGGTGGGTAGTGCAGGGCAGGGCAGGGGTTGGCAGGTGGGCAGGGCAGGGCAGGGCAGGGGCTGGCATCCGGGTATCAGGCTCAGGTGGTCTCTATGTGCAGCGGAGTACCAGTCACTGTGCCCCCACGGTCGGGGCTACCTGGCACCCAGCGGAGACCTGAGCCTCCGGAGAGGTGAGGCCCGACTTCACCCAGCCCACCCTGAGCCCCAGCGCCCAGCTCTACCTCCTGTTTATGTCTCCACATCCTCCCTGTCCCGGGTCCTCATCCACCTCTGGGTCGCTGCCACCTTCCCCCGTCTGTCTTCTGCATTGCCTCCGCCCTGCCCCCATCCGTGTGCACCCCTCCCCGCAGACGTGGACGAATGCCAGCTCTTCCGAGACCAGGTGTGCAAGAGCGGTGTGTGTGTGAACACAGCCCCGGGCTACTCGTGTTACTGCAGCAACGGCTATTACTACCACACACAGCGGCTGGAATGCGTTGGTACGCGTGTCCCCAGCCCGCTGCGTCGGTGCCTGGCTGGTCCATGGCCGCCACCGGCCGGAAGGCCTTCCCAGACTCTCCCCAGGGCGGAGTGGGGGGCGCAGGAGGGCGGCCCTGTAACTGCCCCTCCCCTGTCTCTCAGACAACGACGAGTGCGCGGACGAGGAGCCAGCGTGCGAGGGTGGCCGCTGTGTCAACACCGTGGGCTCCTATCACTGCACCTGCGAGCCCCCGCTTGTGCTGGACGGCTCGCGGCGCCGCTGCGTCTCCAACGAAAGCCAGAGCCTCGGTAGCCCCGCCCGCAGCCCAGGGAACCCCCACTTGGCAGAGAGATGTAGCAATGGGTCACCCCTCAAATACCCACAGACAGCTGAGGCTGAGCCGGGGCAAAGCCCAGAGCCCCGAACTCCAGCCTGGCCTCCCATGTCGCGGGCAGAGACCCAAAGCCTTGGGCCATCCTCTGCTGTCTTCCCAAGTGCCTTGGCAGGAAGCTGGATGGGAAGCAGAACAGCTAGGACTCCGGGTGGGGGGCACCCCTCAGACCCCACCTCTTCCCACACCTCATCTTCCATCCAGGACCTGTAGCCCCCTTGAGAAGCCCCTGAGGCGTGTGTGAGGGCAAAGGGTGGCCAGACAGCTCCCGCAGGAGAGGGGACCCAGCACCCATGCTGACCTAACACCAGCTGTCTGCCTACCCACAGATGACAACCTGGGGGTGTGCTGGCAGGAAGTGGGGCCTGACCTCGTGTGCAGCCGTCCCCGGCTGGACCGCCAGGCCACCTACACCGAGTGCTGCTGCCTCTACGGGGAGGCCTGGGGCATGGACTGTGCTTTCTGCCCAGCTCAGGACTCAGGTGCCCTCCTGCCCTCCCCCCACACCATCCCCAGCCTATCCCTGCCCCCGGGGATGGGGTAGGGAGCTCCAGGCCCTGGGACACAACCCCCCAGGCTCTCAAAATCTTTGTCTCCAAGTCACCCCCTCAAAGACCTGCAAGTCTCAGTCACAGAAATCCAACAGCCCTGAGGTGATGGGTTCCCAAGCCCAACAGGCACCAGGAGCTGGGTTCTGGTGCCCCTGAGGACAAAGCCCCTTGGAGATGCCCTTGCCCAAAGTGGGGGGCCCGGCCCACAGTGCCCTGGACACTGCATTCAGGCACTTAGGAGCTCAACTCCAGAGACCCTCTTCCCCCTTCTAGGCCCCAGGCCGGGTCCCACCATCCTCTCCTCTGGGGAGCAGGGGAGCAGGGGAGCAGGGTGGAGGCGGGGAGCGGGCGTGGTGGGCGCTCAGCTCAGGACTGACCCTTCCTGGGCCTGCGGTTCACAGATGACTTTGAGGCGTTGTGCAATGTGCTGCGGCCGCCGGCCTACGGCCCCCCTCGGCCCGGTGGCTTTGGACTCCCCTATGAGTATGGGCCAGACTTAGGGCCGCCTTACCAGGGCCTCCCATACGGGCCTGAGCTGTACGCACCCGCCGTGCTGCCCTACGACCCCTACCCGCCGCCGCCCGGGCCCTTCGCCCGCCGGGAGGCCCCCTACGGCGCGCCCCCCTTCGACCTGCCCGACTTTGAGGACGACGGGGACCGCTACAGCGAACCCGAGGCTCCGGCGCGCTCCGGTCCGGGCGCAGGCTGGCCCTACCGGTCCCGCGACACCCGCGGCTCCTTCCCGGAGCCTGAGGAGTCATCGGAGGGCGGAGGCTATGCAGGTGCGCACGGGGCGCCTGCACAAGGGCAGGCTTGGCCTGGGGGACCCCGGGGACACAGCTGGGCCGGGGCGGGCGGAGAGGGGACCTGGGGTCACCGCGTCCTCTGCAGGTGCCCTGGCCGAGCCCTACGAGGCCCTGGAAGAGGAGGAGTGCGGGATCCTGGACGGCTGCGACCACGGCCGCTGTGTGCGCGTCCCCGAGGGCTTCACCTGCAACTGCTTCGACGGCTACCGCCTGGACATCACGCGCATGGCCTGCGTCGGTGAGGGCGGGGCTAGCCGGAGGGGCGGGGCTTGCCCGGAGAGGGCGGGGACAGGAGGAAGGGCGGGGCTGACCGGGAGGTGGGGCGGGGCTTGACCGAAGGAGGCAGAGACTGGACGGGACTAACAGACAAGGGCGGGGCTTGCCGGGAGGTGGGGCCAGCGGGTGGGCGGGGCCTGTCGGAGGGGCGGGGCCCGGAGACGAGCAGGCTCCCTCGGCGGAGACACTGCAGGCAGATTGCTGCCATCGCGGTCCGTCCAGTCCCGGGCAGCTCAGGCGGCCCCAGCAGCCAGCCCCGTGGCTTCCGGGCCCCACGTGCCTGGGTAGGTTGCACAGAGAGGCTGAGCCACCTGCCCAAGCTCACACAGCCTGCAGGTGGCAGGGCTCACTCCGCGTTCTAATCCTCGTGCGGCCCGGGGAGCCGGGGTGGCCGGAGAGCCGCGCTCCAGGGCGCTCAGGCTGCGGCGTCTCCCCCACTTTCCCCAGACATCAACGAGTGCGACGAGGCCGCGGCGGCGTCCCCGCTCTGCATCAATGCCCGCTGTGTCAACACCGACGGCTCCTTCCGCTGCGTGTGCCGCCCGGGCTTCGCGCCCACGCACCAGCCGCACCATTGCGCGCCCGCGCGGCCCCGCGCCTGAGCCGCGCGCCCCAGCTGGCCGTCCCGCTGCGGGTCCCTGGAGAACCGGGACCTGGGCCCTGCGCCCTGCTGCGGGCCCCTGGAGAGCCGGGACCTGGGCCCTGCGCCCTGCTGCGGGCCCCTGGAGAGCCGGGACGCGGGCCCTGCCGGGGACCGGGCCGACGCGTGGCCCGCTGCCCGTGACCCTGGGGCTGAACCGAGCCCTGCGCCCCCTTCACGCGCTCCTCCACCCCTTTTATAGTCCTCAATTAAAGAAACACCTATTTTGTACGCCTTGTCTCTGCTGCTGGCCCGCGGCCCGGACTCGGTCATGACCCCTCCCCCGGCCCGGATGCACCGTCTGATTAGTCTCCGGCCAGTCCCTTCCCCTGGTTCTTGTTCTCTCTCCCTCCCTCCGGGGGCGAGCCGGGCATGGGGAGGAGGCAGAGGCTATGGGGGCTGAGCCCCGCCCCGTGCCTCTTGCCCCAGCTTGGCTGTCCACAGGGAGCAGGGGCAGGACTGAATAAGATCGGGGTGGAGTGGGGTGTGCCCGATGCAGCCCTCCCGGCCCCTGAGCCCGTGGGTGGCCCACGCCATGGTCCTGCAGGGAGCCCAGAATCCTCCCAGCAAGGCCAGGACAGGGTAACCCGGTCCACAGCAAAAGCCAGAGCCTAGTTTGGTTGTCACTCTCCCAGCCAAGCTCAGGAGAGGGAGTGAGGGTTGAGCTCAGGGGTGAGACGCTGGTGCCACACATCAGCTCCTGGCTCTCGCTGACGGCCTGGGCAGCCTCCAAGCAGCCCGAATGGCCTGGTCCCTCTCTGCGTGGGAGCCCTGGCTTGGTCTCCCAACTTGGATCCTGCCCCGCCCCAGGCTTTGTAGTTGACTGGAGGGTGAACCAACAGATAGGGGTGCACACTCTCTCTGATTCAACATTGACTTATTACAGGTGCTGGGGGAAATCAGATTTTCCATCTGGGCCCAGCAAGGCAGCCTAGCAGCTAAAGTCCTTGCCTTGCATGCGCCAGGATCCCATATGGGCACAGAGTCTAATCCCAGCAGGCCCGCTTCCCATCCAGCTCCCTGGTTGTGGCCTGGGAAAGCAGTTGAGGACAGCCCAAGACTTTGGGACCCTGCATCCACGTGGGAGACCTGGAAGAGGCTCCCGGCTTCGGATTGACTCAGCTATGGCCGTTGTGGTCGCTTGGGGAGTGAATCATCGGATGGAAGATCTTCCTCTCTGTCTCTCCTCCTCTCTGTATATCTGACTTTGTAGTAAAAATAAGCAAGTCTCTGAAAGGAAGTAAGGAAGGAAAGGAAGTAAGGAAGGAAGAAAGGAATGAATTCCATGTGCTGATTCACTCCCCAAAAGGTTCTGATGGCCAAAACTGAGCTGATCAGAAGCCAAGAACCAGGAGCTGCTGCTTTTCTTTTTTTTTTTTTAATTGGAAAGTCAGATATACAGAAAGGAAGATCTTCATTCCAATGATTCACTCCTCAAGTGACCACAACAGCCGGAGCTGCACCAATCCAAACCCAGGAGCCAGGAACTTCTTCCAGGTCTCCTACGCTGGTTCAGGATCCCAAGGCTTTGGGCCGTCCTTGACTGCTTTCCCAGGCCACAAGCAGGGAGCTGGATGGGAAGTAGAGCAGCTGGAACATGAACTGGCCCCCATAGGGGATGACCTCCGCCTTTTAGACAACAAAACCCAACACGAACCTGGACCAGCATTGTCAGCTGTGGGGCAGGGTAGGGGTGGGAGGTGGCAGTGAAGAACCTTGTCTCAAGCCTCCCTCCCCCTCCAGCTGCCCTCCCCTTCCTCTCCCCCTTAGGGCTTCACACAGCAGAGCTTGAGGGACCAGACACAGCCTTGGCAGGAAGCAGGGATGAGAGGAGAAATCCGAAGTCCAGATGGCACTGCGTCCCAGGCTGGGGGTGGCACAGCTGGGGGTATCTTCCTGTTAATGAGAAACTGGGATGCAGCACTCCTGGGCTGCGAGCCCCTTCCGCTCTGCAGGTGTATCTCAATCTGTTTAAATGATGGCTTGGAGAGGTCCTACCTGGTCAGGCCTGCCTGACTCCTGCCCACCCCTGGGAGCTGCAGGACAGGCTCAAATCTGCACGAAGCGGCTGTGGTGTCTGACTCCATATTAAGAATAAGTGAATAAATAAAATCACTGAATGATGGCCTCGCACGGGTGAGCATTGTGGTTGTGGCCTGTGACTCCAGAGGAAAGGCCCCAGAGGGGGAAGTGAGCACAGAGTCCCCCCAGCTGGGATTCGGGAAGTCCAACCCACGCACTGACCCGGTCCTCCCTCCCTCAACCCCCACAGTCCCTCCGTGGACAGGCCAAGAAGAACGCCAGTGCAGGAGGCAAGGCTCCAAGCAGAGGGTTCACGGCTGTGTGGGTGGGAGGGAGAGTTCTGAGTGTAGACACGAGAGAAGCCCCAGCCGGTGCGGGTGACCCGCTTAGCCTCCCACTTCCCAGGAAGCCGCTGTGGGTGCCTCCTCTTCCCGGGGTCGGGAGGTGGGGGTGCCGGCTTCTGAGACCCGCGCCCTCTCACTGCCCTACCCCCTCGGGTTGTGCCAAGGATGGCGAGAGGTTGTCTGGGGTGCTCAGTGCTTGGGGTGCGGGCGCGTTCCCCTGTGGCATGTCCCCGGGGAAAAGGTCCAGGCGGGCGGGATCTGTGCCGCTGCGCGCTCTCGTGGCCACCCCTGGAACCGTCGCGCTCCGCTTCGGCCAGGCGTCCCCATGGTCTTCCTCCGCATCTTCTTCCTCCTCCACAAGGGCGATTCCTGTGTGCCAGGCGCTGTGCTGCTCCCCTCCTGGACTCCTCACGCGGTCCAGACTGCCACATCCAAGGGGGGGCCTGGGCAGTTCACTTGTACTCACCCACTCAAAACTAAGCGTGCACATGGCTGTGGTGGCGTCGTGAGCTAAACCTCCGTTTGGGATGCCCTTATCCCAGATGGGAGGGCCTTGTTCAAGCCGCGACTGCCCACTTTTCTGCCCCATTCCCCTACCTCCTGTTCATGCATCTGGGAGATATCAGGGGATGGCCGAAGTACCCAGCCCTCTGCCACCCTGATGGGAGACCAAGAGGGAGCCAGGAACTCTGTCCAGGTCTCCCACACGGGTGGCATCAGCAGGAAGTTGGAGTCAGCAACCAGTACTGCGGTTCGAACCCTGGTCATTAGATGCGGGTCCCAAGCGCCTGAGCCCTGGACCTATGTTAGGCATTTTGAATTTGCCCACCATAGCTCATGGCTGAACCCCACTCTTGGAAAGTCACGCCCCTGCAGGTGCCTTTCAGTGCGGGAGTGTCCTGTCCTTCGGGGTTACCTCCGAGGGCTCAAGTGAGACAGACAGGCATGCAAAGGGGAGGCTGAGTCCTCCACGGGAATTGCCTCAGAACACCCCTGCCTACCTTGGGTGCTGGGACCTGAGTAAGTTCAGGTAAGTGAGTCACACTGGGCAGGAAAAGCGTTGTGGACTCCAGAGCATGTTTGTACCAAAGCAAATGTCTGATAACGCTGTTTTCGTAAACTTGATAACACTTGCTAATGCTTCGGGGAGAAGGACGAGTATGCACATACATGCCCTTGTGTGCAGAGAGAAAAATCAGTCCTGACACTGATTTAGTGGCTAAATCCTCGCCTTGCATGTGCCCGGATCCTATGTGGGCAAAGGTTCGTGTCCTGTCTGCTCCACTTGCCATCCAGCTCCCTGCCTGTGCCCTGTGAAAGCAATCGAGATAGTCCAAAGCCTTGGAACTCTGAACTGGTGTGGGAGATCCGGAAGAAGCTCCTGGCTCCTGGCTTTGGATCAACTCATCTCCAGCCATCGGAGCTACTTGGGGAGCGAACCAGCAACGAACGATATCTCTCTCCTCCTCCTCCTCTCTTAAATTTCCCTTTCCAATAAAAATAAATAAATCTGGGCCCAGCACGGTAATCCAGCGGCTAAAGTCCTTGACTTGTGTGTGCCAGGATCCCATATCGACTCTGGTTCTAATCCTAGCTGCACTGCATCCCATCCAGCTCCCTGCTTGAGGCCTGGAAATGCAGTCGAGGACGGCCCAAAGCCTTGGGACACTGCACCTGTGTGGGAGACTCAGAAGAGGCTCCTGGCTTCAGATTGGCTCAGCTCCGGCCTTTGTAGCCACTTGGGGAGTTATTCATCAGATGGAAGATTTTCCTCTCTGTCTCTCCTCCTCTCCATATATCTGATTTTGCAATAAAAAAATAAATATGTCTTAAAAAATAAATCTTAGAGAGAGAGAGGTCTTTCATCCACTAATTCACTCCCCCAAGTGACCCCAATGGCCAGAGCTGAGATGATTCAGTCAGGAGCTTCTTCCGTGTCTCTCACACGGGTGCAGGGTCCCAAGGCCTCGAGCCATCCGCCACTGCGTTCTCAGACCACAAGCAGCGAGCTGGATGGAAAGTGGAGCAGCTGGGACATGAACCGACACCCATATGGGATCCTGGCATTTGAAGGGGAGGATTTAGCCGCTGAGTCATCGTGCTGGGCCCAAATTTGAAATGACTAGGATAATTTCAATGGGATTCCAGGTCTTATTTGAAGGGCCTGGTTGGATTCCCAGTTCTGGTCCCCATTCCAACTCCCTTGCGTTGTTTGCTTTCCACGGTAGCAGGAGTGACTCCGGTGCTTGGGCCCCTGTGGCCCCGGGGGAGTCCCGGATGCAGCGCCTGGGCCCTGGTTCTGGCCGGACCCAATCCTGACAATTTCAGTCATTTGAGGAATGAAGTGATGATGCAACATCTCTCTCGCCCTCCTTCTGCAACTGCCTTTCCAGTAAATAAATAAATCTTTTGAAAACTAAAATATTTAAAAGAACTTTCCATGTTAAGAAGAAACATTTAGATAACATGTTTGATTCTCAGACTTTCAGATGAGTGAGTTAAAATTTAAACATAAGAAAAAGAATTTTTTTTTTTTTTTAGCACAGAGAATGTAAAATCCAGAGCAAGTTCTGCATACATAAAATAGGGAAGATCAAAGATTCAGTCGGCGCTCCACTCTGCCTTGCTGCCTTCGTTGTGCTGTCACGGCCTGAAGGTTAAGACTGTCTTTTAAAAA